GAAGACGGGAGGGGCCTTTTCCTGGAGTTCCGAGGGAGGAGAGTGTGAAATGCTCCTTGACCCACACTGGAGCAGAAGGTCCTGCGTTCTGAAGTCCACACCGCCAGCTGGTGTGTGTGTAGTGAGACATCCATCCAGCACACCACAACAACTCTTCAACTGTGCAAAGGTCCAAAGTCGCAAATTTAGTGCAAAGGCAGTTCTGGTTCCTCCTCCTCCTCCTCTTCCTCCTCCTCCTCCTCTATAGTTAGCTGTCAAATTAAAAAAACAGGCTTCCTTTAGTCTCCCCAGTAGGAGACCACAAACCCAGCCTCGATCTGCCTCTGGGGTGCCTCCAAAGTCCATCTTCACAAAAGCCCGTATGTAAACATTCAAGGCCGTGGGAACCACCACCCTGCAAGGGTTTGATCGAGGCCCAGCGGAGATGGGAGGATCCAGTTCCTTCCTTTGTTCACTTTCTCTCTCCTTCTGCCGCAGGGCCGGGGAGGGCAATGTCCGTTCCCACTGAGTCACTCAGACAGCTGCAATAACAATCATCAGATGGGGAGAGATGTTTGAGATGCTGGCAAGGAGGTCCGGGGCCAGGCGGGAGAGGTGGCTCTCTGAGAAGTCACAAGGCGGGAAGATCTGTAGAACGTAAGCAGGCTGGAAGAGAGAACCAAAGACGAAACCGTGAACGCCGAAGGCCTGGCGGAGGGCCCGGCAAGCGATGCCAGGAAGCAGAGAGAGAACAGCAGCAGCAACACCAAGGGCCAACAAGCTGGACCAACTGTCCTCTGCATGGAGTAACGCCTTTGGCAAGGACCCCCTCAGGGAACTGAAGGTGGGCCTTGGCCCTTCACTGTCCTTCTGCTGAACTTCACCTTCTCGCCCAGCTGAGTTCTGGGGATCCCAATGTTTCCCCAGGCCCTTCATTTGGAAATAGTGGCTTGCTCAGAGAAGAGGCTGAGAACTGGAGCCCCGAAAGACCTACTCTCAAGCCCTGCCAGCTTGAATGAACTGTTTCTGGCTCTGTTCAGGCCTGCCCAAATGTGACCGGATTTCAAGGAATTGTCTTCTGCTTCACCCCTCCTTTTCCCAGGGACACACCCTTGTTTTCAACCCAGTTGCAAAAGGAAAGGGGGCAGCCCGATTTTTCCTTCCCTTCCTACCTGGTTGGAGCCTGGATTGGGAACATTTATGATCCCAGCAGCTTGCTTTGCTTGCAGGTAGCTAATAAAGGCCGCCTTGAGCGACTCGGTCTGGTTCACCACATCCTCTTGGTCTCGGCCACAGGGCAGAGCCAGCAGCAGGCAGTAGTCGCTCTCCACCTGGAAGAAAAGAGACGGCCTCCGGGCCTGAGAATCGCTTCTCTCGGGCGCCCCCCAGAGCCCAGCTACGACTTCAGAACCCTTTTGACGGAAAATGATCGGCCTCACGATTGTCAGGATACACGCGTTTTGTTTTCCTGGCACAGAACTGCAGGTCTATGACCTGCAAAAGTGTTTCACCACCATCACCACCCCCGCCATACCTCGGCCTACCATTCTGCATAGAATTGGGAAGGTGTGAGGAAGGCTGGCCACTGGGCATTGTGTTTTTGCTGCTCCTTTTTTAGCTGTGGAACATTCTGCCGCGCATATCCTTACTGACCTTGCAAGCACAGGGGAATCAAGGATGAGGCTAAGAGACTGAAAGCTGAACCTCTCCCCAGGTTTCTCCACCCCTTGTCCAACAGTCACCACTGCACCACCCGGTGGGTGCTCTGAACTCTCCCTGACATCACACAGACATACTCTTCCGCCACGGAACAGTGAGCCTCGTCGGGCCAGCTTCTGCACCATTCTGTTTCTAAAGTAAAGGCAGCCCTAGGGGCTAGGCCGCACATTCCACCCAGCACCAACAACAGGCCGGAAGGGTCCCGAGAGATTTACAGAGGCACCTTTTCAAACAGAAGCTGCAGGAGAAACAAGGAGTTAAGGCGGGCTCAGCCTCGGGCCTGCTTCTTACCGTCATCCGGCGGGCTACCCCCTCCAGCTGCGAGGCCTCCAGCCTCATACGCTGGGCAATCCTCAGGGGAGGGCCACCCTCTGGGGCTGGCAAGGAGCGATGTGCCAGGACGTTGTTACCGGAAACAAAGTGCAGCTGGACGGCCGCAGTGTCGTTCTTCAGGGCCAGGAGCCCCTGCCACACAATGGGGTATTTCTGCCAATCCAAGGAAGAACACAGGCCCGTTAATCGCTGCTATGAGAGAGACGGATCGCTGAGCTCCAGAACAGCTGCATGGAGTCCCATCAGCCACTCTCGACCCCCTTGCCTCTCCCCACCCCTACCCACAAAACAATTGGGAAGGAGTAACGAGGCCTGTCCATCCCTCCGTCCGCAGAGACTGCATCGAAACCGATGCAGCAGACTCACAGTCAGCAGCTGGACCATGTCCACTGGTCTCTGAGCAACCGGATGATCCTGCTTCAGCGCCGACTGTGATTCGGACCGGGGCAAGGGCAGTCCTGGAGCTGCCCCAGGACCAGCGGTGGTCGGAATAAAGAGGGCTGGCTTCTGAACTGGAGCCTGATGGGAAGAGGGGGGCTCCTGCTTCACTGACACAGCGACAGGAGAAGGGTAGGAGGCCTGGCTCGGGTGCAGATGGGGCTCCATCTGCTGGACGTGCCGGTTGACCACAGGGTGGAGGGAAGGGTCTGGCCCTGTTGCCTGGGCCCCTTTAGGCTCCTGGGAGATCTGAGGTGTTTTGCTGTGAGCTGGCTGGCTGGGGTGCGAATGTTCCCCTTCAGGTAGACCCTGGGAGACAGGGGCAAAAGAAAGCACGTTAGGCAGAAGCGGCACACGCACACACCAGGCCATGCCGGTTCTGGGCCTTAGACAGGGACAGGCAGAGACCAGGCTCAAGACAGCCACGCTCCCTTTCCCCAGAAGGCCAGAATCCAACCACCAAGACCCCAAGCCAAAGGCACCATTCTCCCCACAGCGCTGCCCAGCCTGGGAACTGGCGAATCCCGCTCCTCGTTCTCAGCCCAAGCTATTCTGTGGCTGCCAATCTCAGAAAAGCCCTCCACAGGGGGAAGGTGACTCCCACCCTCTCTTGGAGCAATGCCCGCACATCCATTTAGCACAAACATCTTGACTCTCTGGCCGCTGGGCTTTCCGGTTAGCGGCTCTCGGGAGGTCCACGTCCTATACTTGAACACAGAGCTGCAGCCCCCCCATGACACAAAATTCAGAAAGCCAGGAGGGGGGCCCAAGAGCGGCCATCCTGGGACTCCAAGGCAGCAAATGCAGCACCCTGCCTTAGCTGCTGACCAAAGGCACCACTTCCTATGTCTGATGGAGGGCCTCTGGCCCACGGAGGCCTCAGGCTGAGGCAGAAACCCTGCCCCTGTTCTTACCTGGGAGGGTGTCATGCTCCGGGAAGGAAGCCCAATCGGTGAGCCCCCCGAAAACGGAGGGTGGCCAAGCTGAGCTGCCGGGTGGTAGCTTCGCATGTCCCCGTACACGGGCCGATAATCGTGGAAGGAGGTCCCGCTGGGGTGCATAATCTGCACCCCGTGGGGCACGACCACCGGCTGCGCCAAAGGCAGTCCCGGAAGCTGGCTGCTGAGGAGCCGGGGTTCACTGTGGGGCGAGTGGGCCATCTTGACTTCGGAAGCCTTGGGTGTCTCTTTGCCTGCCTTGGTGGCTGGAGGCGTTTTCACGGACCTTCCTTCTGGCGTTCTGGATTGCCGTGGCTCTGGGTGATGGTCGCCGCCCACCGCCGCCATGTGCGGATGCATCATCACCCTCACGTCCCGAGGAACGCTGTACTGGTCGAGCCGGATGCCCGCCGGATGCACGCGGTAGTCCGGCTGCATGACCAGGACGTCGGACTGCACGGGGGCTGAGCCGCGGCACGCCGGGTGGTGGTAGTGCATCTCTTCTTCAGAGGCATGCTGGGAAGACAGGGGTGGCATGACGATCTCCCTCATGGGGGCCGGCTGGGGAGTGCTGGACCGCTGAGGCTGCAGAGCGGCC